GGCGGCCATATTGTATCCATAGCAACGGAGATCGCACCTTCATATCTCCCGGCATCCTGAGCGCCAGAAGCGGCCGTCCCGCCCCATCCCCGGCATGGCTTTCACCCTCTGTGATTTACTGTATGTCTTTCCTCACACTAACTCTGACACACACCGAGCTCAGTCCCCCCGGCATGGCTTTCACCCTCTGTGATTTACTGTATGTCTTTCCTCACACTAACTCTGACACACACCGAGCTCAGTCCCCAGCATGGCTTTCACCCTCTGTGATTTACTGTATGTCTTTCCTCACACTAACTCTGACACACACCGAGCTCAGTCCCAGGCATGGCTTCACCCTCTGTAATTTACTGTATGTCTTTCCTCACACTAACTCTGACACACACCGAGCTCAGTCCCCCAGCATGGCTGTCACCCTCTGTGATTTACTGTATGTCTTTCCTCACTAACTCGACTTTTACACCGAGCTCAGTCCCCCCGGCGGCTCTACCCTCTGTGATTTACTGTATGTCTTTCTCACACTAACTCTGACACACACCGAGCACAGTCCCCGGCATGGCTGTCGCCCTCTGTGATTTACTGTATGTCTTTCCTCACACTAACTCTGACACACACCGAGCTCAGTCCCCGGCATGGCTTTCACCCTCTGTGATTTACTGTATTTCTTTCCTCACACTAACTGTGACACACACCGAGCTCAGTCCCCGGCATGGCTTTCACCCTCTGTGATTTAGTGTATGTCTTTCCTCACACTAACTCTGACACACACCGAGCACAGTCCCCCGGCATGGCTTTCACCCTCTGTGATTTACTGTATTTCTTTCCTCACACTAACTCTGACACACACCGAGCTCAGTCCCCCAGCATGGCTGTCACCCTCTGTGATTTACTGTATGTCTTTCCTCACATTAACTCTGACACACACCGAGCTCAGTCCCCGGCATGGCTTTCACCCTCTGTGATTTACTGTATGTCTTTCCTCACACTAACTCTGACACACACCGAGCTCAGTCCCTGGCATGGCTGTCACCCTCTGTGATTTACTGTATGTCTTTTCTCACACTAACTCTGACACACACCGAGCTCAGTCCCCCCGGCATGGCTTTCACCCTCTGTGATTTACTGTATGTCTTTCCTCACACTAACTCTGACACACACCGAGCTCAGTCCCCCCGGCATGGCTGTCACCCTCTGTGTTTTACTGTATGTCTTTCCTCACACTAACTCTGACACACACCGAGCTCAGTCCCCGGCATGGCTTTCACCCTCTGTGATTTACTGTATGTCTTTCCTCACACTAACTGTGACACACACCGAGCTCAGTCCCCCCGGCATGGCTTTCACCCTCTGTGATTTACTGTATGTCTTTCCTCACACTAACTCTGACACACACCGAGCTCAGTCCCAGCATGACTTTCACCCTCTGTGATTTACTGTATGTCTTTCCTCACACTAACTCTGACACACACCGAGCACAGTCCCCCAGCATGGCTTTCACCCTCTGTGGTTTACTGTATGTCTTTCCTCACACTAACTCTGACACACACCGAGCTCAGTCCCCCCGGCATGGCTTTCTCCCTCTGTGATTTACTGTATGTCTTTTCCTCACACTAACTCTGACACACACCGAGCACAGTCCCCAGCATGGCTTTCACCCTCTGTGATTTACTGTATGTCTTTCCTCACACTAACTCTGACACACACCGAGCTCAGTCCCCGGCATGGCTTTCACCCTCTGTGATTTACTGTATGTCTTTCCTCACACTAACTCTGACACACACCGAGCTCAGTCCCCGGCATGGCTGTCACCCTCTGTGATTTACTGTATGTCTTTCCTCACACTAACTCTGACACACACCGAGCACAGTCCCCCGGCATGGCTTTCACCCTCTGTGATTTACTGTATGTCTTTCCTCACACTAACTCTGACACACACCGAGCTCAGTCCCAGGCATGGCTTTCACCCTCTGTGATTTACTGTATGTCTTTCCTCACACTAACTCTGACACACACCGAGCTCAGTCCCCCCATGGCTTTCACCCTCTGTGATTTACTGTATGTCTTTCCTCACACTAACTCTGACACACACCGAGCTCAGTCCCAGGCATGGCTTTCACCCTCTGTGATTTACTGTATGTCTTTCCTCACACTAACTCTGACACACACCGAGCTCAGTCCCCGGCATGGCTTTCACCCTCTGTGATTTACTGTATTTCTTTCCTCACACTAACTGTGACACACACCGAGCTCAGTCCCCGGCATGGCTTTCACCCTCTGTGATTTAGTGTATGTCTTTCCTCACACTAACTCTGACACACACCGAGCACAGTCCCCCGGCATGGCTTTCACCCTCTGTGATTTACTGTATTTCTTTCCTCACACTAACTCTGACACACACCGAGCTCAGTCCCCCAGCATGGCTGTCACCCTCTGTGATTTACTGTATGTCTTTCCTCACATTAACTCTGACACACACCGAGCTCAGTCCCCGGCATGGCTTTCACCCTCTGTGATTTACTGTATGTCTTTCCTCACACTAACTCTGACACACACCGAGCTCAGTCCCCGGCATGGCTTTCACCCTCTGTGATTTACTGTATGTCTTTCCTCACACTAACTCTGACACACACCGAGCACAGTCCCCCCGGCATGGCTTTCACCCTCTGTGATTTACTGTATGTCTTTCCTCACACTAACTCTGACACACACCGAGCTCAGTCCCCAGCATGGCTTTCACCCTCTGTGATTTACTGTATGTCTTTCCTCACACTAACTCTGACACACACCGAGCTCAGTCCCCGGCATGGCTTTCACCCTCTGTGATTTACTGTATGTCTTTCCTCACACTAACTCTGACACACACCGAGCTCAGTCCCCCCGGCATGGCTTTCACCCACTGTGATTTACTGTAAGTCTTTCCTCACACTAACTCTGACACACACCGAGCTCAGTCCCCGGCATGGCTTTCACCCTCTGTGATTTACTGTATGTCTTTCTGTGACAGAACCATCTGTCTGCTGGATTTTTGCCCGTTCGTCTGTTTGTCCCCGTTCGTATGAATGGCTGGTTTCTATAGCCCAGCCATTCGAATGACTCTTTTTCCCGAACAAAACCGCCGAACGAACGGCCACCCAAGTGAGGAGTGTGCTGCAGGTTAACGAAGTGATCACCATTATAGCGTTGTGGTTAACCGCAGACACTTCTCAATTAAACCGAACTCAGGGTGGTCGTCGTTCGTATGTCGACCACGAGGCAGCGGCCATTTTAAATCATGCGAACGCTCAGCGGTGTTTGGCTCTATTTCTATGGAACGGAAAACGGACACTTTTTCTGTCGAACACCGCTGAAACAAGGGAACGCCTGGCTGCCTCCACGAAAGCATGCGAACATCGGCCGTTCGGGAGATGGAGAACACACAAAAAGACTTAACCCAGATAGCCCACCCATGGAGTCATTCGTGTACCGAAGGACTGTAAGAACTTTGACTCCATTGCGAGTGAACTATGTGTGTGGGATCTGAGCGCTATTCGCCAATAATATGCACTCAGATCCAGGCTATCTGGGGACATGTAATACGAATGGGAAATGTTCAGTTTTCATGTAGTTATGCATTTTTGTGTCTTTTATTATTTCATGCTTAAGATGGCGACTTTCCTTGTCCTGGAGTTAATTGAGTTACTTGGTAATTAACTCCAGGACAGAGGGGAGGGAATCAGAATGCACTGTGGGTAAAATATGTGACTGTGTGTCAGAAATGTCCTGCTATCTGTCTGTACTTTAAGTCTCCCATTTGGTCCCCTAGGGGAGTGTCCACCAGGTGGGAGACCTGCATAAATACGGGCAGGTAGCCCACAGTAAACCCAGATCTTATTTGACCCTCAATGCGGAGCTTCTGTCTCGTTATTGGGGGGATTTCTTCTTCGCGTTTAGAGACTGCTGGATGGAACGAAAGCCGCTTTGGGGATATTATTGTTCGACGGTTCCTAGCAGTTCGTATATTGCCGTTCGGGAGTTTGGAGCCGTTCGTGGATTTCGATCGGGAGATTGCCGCTTCCCCTGCATTTGGTTCGTGGGTTACTGAGTAAGCGAACAGAGACTGTACTGCAGCCGGGGAAGGTTTACTAAACGGCGGTTTGGCTTAAAGACACGGGAGGTGTCTTAACAATTGGTGGCAAGCGACGGGATGAATCCTACAGCATTGGAGGTCAGCTACAAGAGATGCAGTACGAGGAATTAAGGCGTGCTACACTTAAGGACATATTGGAACGTCGAGGAAGGTCAGCAAGCAATTTAAAGAAACGGGAGATTATTGCTTTGCTACTGGAGATGGATGCAGCAACGGAAATGGAAAGAGTCAACGTGCCCAGTACCTTGGATTTAACACCCGAGGAAATACAATTCAACCGGGCAGTACAAATAAGGCTGGCACATTTTGGCCCCAACCCCTCAGCTGACATCGTGGTTCGTGTGCAGGCAGCAGTTGCAACACAACAGGCAGCCCGGGGAAGAGGAGCTGCAGCAGCAGAGGTACCGTATGACAATAATGTGGTTGCTAGAAAAAAGGTACCTTTTGCTGCGTTTAAAAATTTTGTGGAAACAGAGGGAGAGATTGATGGATTTTTGGCAGACTCTGAGAGGCAGTGTGCGCTACATCAGGTACCTGCAGATGAATGGGTCACCATCCTCTCTGGGAAATTATCTGGCCGGGCTAGTGAAGCTTTTCGGGCCATCCCAGAGGAGGAGATCACCAGCTATCGGGCGGTGAAAGAGGCGCTCCTAGCCAGGTATGCAGTAACCCCAGAGACGTACAGGCGGAGGTTTAGAGAAACCAACAAGCTGGTTGGGGACTCTTATGTGGAATGGGCCTGCAGAGTCCATCGTACCGCAGCCCACTGGATGGCTGGATGCCAAGCGGTAACTGGGGAGGAGGTGTTACAAGTGTTCCTGCTGGAGCACTGCTTTGATAGACTACCTGCTGGGGTCCGGGAATGGGTCAGAGACAGAAAACCCTCTACCCTACCTGAGGCTGCCCGTCTGGCAGACGAATACACGGATGCCCGCAAGTTGGATGGTACAGCTGCTAAAGCCCCTGCCAGACTGGAATATCGACCAGCAGTAACACCCGCTCCTGCAGTCTACCAACCCCCAGTACACCGTACCCCAGCCGCACCACCAGCTAACAACTATATGCAACCAGCCCGATTTAATGCCCGGGAGTACTCCCAACCCATCCGGTGCTATGGATGCAAGCAGTTGGGGCACAAGCGTCCTGAGTGCCCCCTGAACAGTGCCAACCAGGCTCAGTCCTGGAGGAGACCAGTTAACGGAAACCAGCGCCCACCTCAGCCTGCTGCTCACTGCCTAGAGCAAGAGGAATTTTGGGGCATTCTGCACGAGGCAGACCCAGTGCAAGCAGCTCACCCGGATAATCGCCAGCAACATCGGCAAACTGTGAAGCTAAATGGCAGAGTGGTGAATGGGCTGAGAGACACAGGAGCCACGATGACACTGCTCCAAAAGAACTTGGTCTCAGAGCATCAGCACACTGGGGACACTGTGGCGGTAAGGGTAGCAGGGTTTCGCTCACCTGTTGCCCGAGTACATTTGGATTGGGGAGTGGGCGCTAGGCATGTGGATGTGGGGGTGATGAAGGACCTGCCCGCAGATGTTCTTTTGGGAAACGATTTTGCCCCTTTGGTTTCAGCCTATGCTCCGATGGGCCCTGCAGACGTGAACCCAGTGACCACCCGTGCCCAGACCCGTGCTGCCGGAACCAGCCCACTTGCTGACGAGACCCAGGTAAGATCTCCTTCCCCGACTGATACCCCAGATCAGGTCCCCTTAAGCTGGGATTCCCCAGAGGAGTTTGGGAGGGAAACCCGGGCGGATCCGACCCTCCAAAGATACAAGGACAGGGCAGAGGCTGGGGAGGAAGGAATAGATGGGGAGCGGTATGAGTGGGTGGGGGACAGGTTATATAGGATCCCTAAACCTTCCCAGAAGAGTGTTGCCCCTCCGCCGAATCGCCAGTTAGTGGTACCTGCAAAGTACCGGCAGGAGATTCTGCGGATAGGGCATGATGTCCCTTTAGCTGGACATCTAGGGTCCCGCCGCACAGCCTATAGGATTTCACAGAACTTCTTTTGGCCAAACTTTAACCAGGCTGTGCGGATGTACTGCAGCACGTGTGACACATGTCAACGGGTAGGGAAGCGGGGGGACCACCTTAAGGCTAGGCTATTATCGATGCCTATTATAGGGGAGCCCTTTGCCCGCATAGCCGTTGACATTGTGGGTCCACTGGCCAGGGCTAGTCCATCCGGTAAGAAGTATGTTCTTACCGTGGTGGACTATGCCACCCGCTATCCAGAGGCAGTAGCGCTGTCTAACATAGAGGCAGAGACGGGTGCTGATGCCCTGGTTAGAATTTTTACTAGGGTCGGGTTCCCTAAGGAGATCCTCTCCGACCAGGGAACCCAATTCACCGCTGTGCTCACCCAGCAACTGTGGAAGGTGTGCGGCATTAAGCCGTTACTTAGCTCACCCTACCACCCACAGACTAACGGTCTCTGCGAGCGCTTTAACGGCACCCTCAAACAGATGCTGAGGACCTTTACAGACACTTGCAGAGACTGGGAGAGATTCCTGCCTCATCTATTATTTTCTTATAGAGAGGTGCCCCAGGAATCTACTGGGTTCTCCCCCTTTGAGCTGCTGTATGGGAGAAGGGTCCGCGGACCCATAGATCTCATTAGAGGCCACTGGGAGGGGGAGACGGAGCAGGAAGGGACCCCCATAGTGCCATATGTTCTGGAACTCCGGGACCGCATGGAGAAACTGTCCCCGATGGTAAGGGAGAATCTCCAGGCGGCCCAGGGGAGACAGAAGAGATGGTACGATCAGGGTGCCCGACAGCGGGTCTTCCAGGTTGGGCAAAAGGTATTGGTGCTTAAACCTGTGAAGGCCAACAAGATGCAAGCATCTTGGCAGTGCCCGTACAAGGTAGTGGCGCAGATCTGCGACACTACTTACTTGATAGCCAGCTGTGCAGATGAAAGGATCCAGCGGTCCTTTCATGTGAACATGCTGAAAGAGTACCAGGAGAGACCTGAGAATATTACAGCAGTATGTGCCCCAGCTGCAGATGATTCTGAGAATTTACCCCTTCCAGATCTATTAGAAAGGGATTCCCAGACTGACCTTACTACCTTGGTACAGCTAGGGGACCGGTTGAACCCCACAGAAAGGGTACAGGCGCAGCAGTTGTTATGGGAGAAGCAGGCGACGTTCTCCCAGGAACCAGGTTATCCCACCCTAGCTGTGCATAAGGTAGAGACCCCTGGACAGACCCCGTTACGACAGCCCCCCTACCGTATCCCTGAAGCAGTCCGTGAAGGAATGCGGAAGGAGATACAGGAGATGACCCAACTTGGGGTTATCGAGCACTCCGACAGCCCTTGGGCCTCGCCTGTAGTCCTGGTGCCAAAGAAAGATGGGACCACCCGGCTCTGTGTGGACTACAGGCGACTCAACGAGCGGACCACCACTGACGCCTACCCAATGCCCCGGGTAGACGAATTACTAGATCGTATTGCCAGGGGGCGATATCTGACCACCATAGACCTGTGCAAGGGATACTGGCAGATCCCCCTGGCCGAGGATGCTATCCCCAAGTCGGCATTTGTCACCCCATTTGGCCTGTACCAATTTAAGGTCATGCCTTTTGGGATGAAAATGCACCGGCTACCTTCCAACGGATGGTGGATAGACTCCTGGATGGCTTCCAAGAATTTGCCTGTGCATACTTGGACGACATTGCGATCTACAGTGGGTCCTGGGAGGAACACCTGGTACATGTAGGGGTAGTGCTGGATAAGATTAGGGCCGCTGGCCTGACGTTGAAGCCAGAAAGGTGTCATCTAGGTATGGCTGAAGTGCAGTACCTGGGTCACAGAGTGGGGTGTGGGAGCCAGAGACCGGAGCCAG